AAAAGTTTATGCCACCTGCTAAAAATAGGGGAGGTAGATAAGTTTATGCCCCCCCGGAGGTAGAGAAGTTTATGCCTCCGTCAAAAATGAAGGAAGGGTTGGGATTGGACTTCGAGGGCCACTACAACCCGGAATTCAGGAAGAATAGCAAGCAGACTTCGAGGGCTGAAGCTTAGTATTCCACTAGCATAGATCAACCGGGCAAACAAACTTCGAGGGTTGGAGCTCGACTGATTCGAGGTAGATAAGATAATGCCTTAACCCGGAGGAAGGGGAGGTCTGGGGCAGATGTGACAAGTGCCCCGGGCATGCCCAAACCCCGGGAAGACGAGATTTAATATAGAGAATGAATTATGTACTTGCATTTAAAGAGGTGCAAAGAAATGATCATTAAGGACCATATTGGCGGGCCAAAGTTTACATTTTTTGGTTCACAATAAAGGTTCCTAGTGAAATAAACAAGAAAAGAAACTAAGGGAGTTATCGATTGCTAATTCGGAAGGTATATCTTTGAATTACAATGATGATTCCTACTTCAAAATTAAGGAACATTCCTTAGTTTGGGATGAGGGGAAAACCTCTGGACCGAGCAAGTGAATACCCCTTGATACAAAACAAGGAAAAGGAATTTGATTTGCAGGAGGCTAGGAACTAAAGGAGGGCCTATTGCATCCATGCAGTCAACAAGAAGGAGGTGGGGGACCCTTCCATGGGCTCCTTCTCTTTGACAAGGGACACGTTGATGAATCAGCGGTTTCCCATAGGTCATAATCTTCCCATGTCCCAGGACGAGGGGCTGCTCCCTTCAATGGAAAACCATTGTTGGGGGGCTTCAGCAGGTTCGGAGAAGCAGTCCTGCTTTCACATGAAGGTTCCGCTTCAACAGTTAGCAAAGAACGTCCAAGCTTAGTCCTGCACATCATCTGGTACAAGGCGAAGTCCTGAAGAGTCATGGAGTCCCAGTCTACCTCCCCGGAGGGAAGCCTGGGTGGACTGGGAGGAGATGGTGCAGGAAGGCGGGGCGCCGGATAAAGCCTCGAGAACTCGCCGGGACTCAACCCGGCCATGTCGTTCGATTGGGCTGGGGAGATGGAGAAGTCATCATCTGAAGAAGAAGACGTCCCAGAGGGGGTTAAGTCGATGATGACTTTGCCCTCAGACTTGCTTGCCATGGCGAAGAAGTCAGAAAGTGATGGACGGGCCGCTAATTGCCCTTTCCCATTTTATAGTCAGAGGGGAAGGAATAGTTGGGAATTGATGAGTGCAATTAAAAGGCGTGAAAGATTAAGCGATTGGTGAAAGAAGCGGTCGAAGCTTTCCCGAAGTTTGACTAAGAGTTTCTCGCCACTAAAGTGCATGGGCTAGTTAATCGGGCCCATTTGCGCTTTGGAAAAGACGTCATCCTTGGAAGGTAAGGAGTTAAATGGACTTAGACTTCTACTCCATGCGGATGACGGCACATGCAACAAAATTGTATTAAATGACAGGAGATAAAGGTTCTTTCCATTAAATAGCTCAAACAGAAGATTACATTCTTTGGGTAACGGTAATGGGCCTTATCCCTAATCAAACAACGAAACAAAAAAAAGAGACGGGAGATAAAGATTTTCATTAAATAACTCAAACAGAAGACGACATTCTTTTGGGTTACAGTAATGAACTTTGTCCCTGATCTACTTCTATCCTACCGCAAAAAAAATTAAAGGTAAGGCGGATCGACACTTCTGGAATCTAAAGGAGTGTATTCGCTGACCCTTGTTTCCTTGCCTGAACCGGAAAAGGACCCCAGAGCTGGGGGGCATGGAGAGTGTCCGCCGAAGACACTTCATGACATTCACAAGAACTAGAATGGTACCAACGGGTGGGGATCTAAAGCCAACCCCGCGGATACCATCCAGGCGATCCCATGAAGGTGCCCACCGGTCTCCCTTGATGACATTCAAAAGATATGGAACGGAACCAACGGGTTGGGATTGAAAGGAATTCCCTCCGTTGGCACCGTCCGGTCATCCATTTGAAGTTAGACCAGGAGGACAATAGGGCATGAGGGAAGGACTCAAGGCCTGTCTCCGCTTATACGGCAGGAGGAGGTGGATCCCGGAAGGTTCCGTCCTTTTCCCTGCGTATAAATGGAAGCCTATTTCCCCCCATGTCATAGTCCCCCCATTCCTCAGGTGGCTGTCCATACAACTACTGAGGGGAAGGGGAACCCTGAGAAGAAGGCCTCGCACCAGAGACTAGCCGGGAAGCTCTTGAGTGGGGATTGCGTCTCTTCTGCGGACGAGAAGTGCTTGGGCAACCAGGAGAGACTTCCGCCTTGGCACTGTTAGGAAGCACGCCGGGACCCGGAGGTACACTCCCCGAGGCCTGTGAGGAGAGATGAGGGTTATTCTCTTCTCTGGGCAAGGGAGAAGTTACCGATTGTTCAGAGGCAAGAGAAGGCCCGGAAGAGAGCTCAGGCGTTGGGGACCCAAGTGAAGGGAATGCCAACGAAGAAGAATCAGAAGAAGAAGAATCAGAAATGGTAAGGTCAATGAAGATAGCTCTATTGGCGTTATTAGCCATGTTGAGAAATTGATTGTGGTGATGGAGAAGTTCAGCCTAGTCCCTTAAATAGGCGAGTAATCCCAAAGGAGAAGGGCAAAGGACGCGGAGTCAAAGCGCTTATCTGATTGGGAGGGAGTTGCGGATTCCCGAGGAAAGCTAGGGTTCTGCTATCTTATCATTGAGCTAAGGTGAATTGGGCCCGGCATAATTAAGGTGGGCCAGTCACTTAGTGGAATGGAGAACGAGAGAAACAGTACGTTATGAACGCGGTTAAGCCCAAAGCCTAGGCGGATAAAAAAATCTGCTAAGTCCTAAGGCGAAACAAGAATTCCAAAAGGGAAACAGTCAGATTACTAAAGAAGTCCATATGGACAAAAATACATCAGGTGTTATCAGTTTGCTATCATCCAAATAATTACAAGGCAAAATATAACAGTCAATAGAGAAGGATAAAGTCACAGTCCCGGGTCTGCACGAGAAGCTGGGGGAGGAAGAGGAAGAGGTAACCCATAGTAGGAGATGAAGTCATCCAAAGTGCGGTTCTCTGGGAGACCACTCTGGACTGCCCCGTAGATGCATTGCTGCATGTCAAATTGACCCTCTTCGTAGAGGGCTCCGGCACGGGCAGTCAGGGTGGCCACCTCCTCTTGATGAGCAGCAATCATCTTCTCCTGTTCATCCACCTTTGACCGGAGCTCACTTGCAGCCTGTCTCTCTCCCTTCAACTTCTCGAGGTCGAGCCGTCTTGCCTCCATCTGCTTCAGGGCGAATTCGTTGTAACGGGAACTCTCACGCTTGGCATCCTGGAGGGAATCCTCCAGCGCAAAAATCCGGGACTCCCTTTCAGCCAACTCAGCTTTCAGGCTTCCTACCTGGCCCTCTGAAGTTGAGGCCCTTGATTCCAGCATGGAGATTTGTGCCCGGAATCTATCAAACTGCACTTCCAGATCCTGGGTCTCTTTTTGGTAATTAACAATCTGATCTTGTAGGGACTGGACCTTAGATCTCTCAGCTGCTAGCTCCGTTAAGCTATCTGCTTGGAGCCGAGCATTCTCCCCTTGCAGGATCTAGACTTGTTGTTCCAGGGAGTCAACCTTCTGTTGCAAGGCCCTGGCAGCCATTTCCCTTTCCCTCAGGAGCACAATGGCCCGAAAGTTCCCTGATGCTCCACCCAGGTACTCCTCAGTCAAAGTAAGGAGTGATTGCTGGGCCTAGAAGAAGGGGAGAGAGGTCAAGGAAGAGAAATAACCCCAGAAAGAGATAAAAAATATTTCGAAGAGTACCTGTTCCATGAGATGCAAAGCATTGAGGGCAAGCAAGTCGAGACGGGATTGGGGAGTTGCAGGCCCCTGCACAGATTCCCTCATCCTCTCAAGGTTAGCCTGGATGGTCCAATGGGAGGCTTGCAAGGATCTCAGACCATGGGAGAAGTCTGCCCAACTCTCTGCAAAAACAGGATAAGTCTGTGGCGTGAACTTGCGCCGGATGGGGAGATTGACAGTCGGGGGGGGGGGG